TCTATATTTGTGTGGTCGATAAAACCAATTACTGTACAGAGTCCCAGGAACTAGAACCTGCTGGCTGTAGGGACGGAGGGGTGTAAATCCTGCTATCATACTGGCGGTGAGCAACACTGGTCCCTTGCCAGGGATGACCAGCATTTAATCTCGTTAAAACATGTAAGCGCAGAAATCGATTTGTATCGTAATCGAAATAATTCAAATTCATGACGTTGCTAACGGGTTTCATCTCGTAATTTGGTTCTGAAATTTAGCATATGATAGATCGGTTCTATACAGTCGTTAACATAATTCACTGCACTGCGTTTGCGTCTGTTTGCGACGGCGTCGACTCCATATTGGCCTTGAATGAAGATAGCACAGTCCTCGCAAACTGTGTCACCGTGTTTCCGACCTTGCGTTTCTTATTTCATTTTGAAACAGACCATACAACATCGACATGATGATGGAGACGGCAAGCATCTCTGGGATGTCTGTAAACTTCTACTAGAGTAACATCCCAGGAGACAATAATATTCATACTCGCCTACAAATACGTTATGCACAATAGTTGCATATTCCATAAACAATTATTATCGCATAACATTAAAGCATAAATGAGACTATGCTATTAGGCCCCATAATACTGTTTCTACCTCATAAGTCCATTTAGTCGTCATGATAGGAATCTTAAATTTTAAAGTGAAGTGATCTACATTAATGAACAGTGGTTAAAAGGTTATTAGTTTTAGGCAGTCACAATGACAGCATCACCTGTTTTACGATACGGACAGTCTGCTAAAATAAAAAGCTTAATTAAAGTAAATATCAAGTGTTTCACATAACGTATGTCTTTAATGTTATCTCTATTTCTCAATTTCAAATTCTTGGGTTAATAAAGTCACTGTCAAAAATGACGACTTCACACACTTGCTTAAAGATAAACCGGCAGGGTGAAAATATAAGACGCTACGCCGTGCCATACATTAACTGAATTGTCATATACTGTACATAGGGTTACAGAAAGTGGATGAACTTAATGTGACAGGATATTCATTGCATATTACTGCATGTTTATAACAGTAATATCCAATGGGAATCTAAAAACACTTTCTCAGGGGTTCACCGAAAGTTGCAGTCGAGTGGTTAGCACTCCGCTTCGAAATTCTGGAGGTTCTGGGTTACATATCTCATCCCGGAGACCAGCTACCCTGACTTTGGATTTTCGAGGTTTTTCGAGGGTTTTTTTGCCGAGATATCACCTCAAATTTGACGAAGACCGCTTTCTTCAACATTCTTTCTAACTTAGCACAGCGCACATTATCCATCCTATCATTTAATGATATGTAGACCTCTCAGTAAGTCTGAAAACAGAAGAAATTTATAAACGTAAAGTTAATGTCTTTAGATGATTCAATGGTTCTTCTAATCTCCTATAATTTCTCATATGAGAGCATTGCCACGTTCGCTAATAAGACATCGTACAATTAACATCCTTTAGTATCCAGTAGTAAACGAACTAAACATAATGTTAATTTACGGCCATAGGCGTAAAGCTTAACAACTCTGTGTTTTCTTTTTCTAAATCTCTGTCGTAAGCTACGAAATTTGCAGGCTCGTGCCTAATGATGAACAAGCCACAAAGTTAATTAAACGCAGGTTATAAAAAATACCTAACTTTTGGGGTTGCATAATGTGAAATGAAATCGGATGACGCGTAGACAGATATGTAATTCGTGAAACTTTCACGGCGAATAAATGGACTAAAATCTCATCGGGTCATCACCACCGTCAAAACTCGGTTGAAAATGATGTTTCACAAAAGTGTTCTTTCACCATCATCAAGGTCAATTATGTTGGAGACACAGCAATCCTCCGAAACGTCGGTTTCTATCCCAGCTGGCTAAGATTTTATCTCAGGTATATAAGTATTTGGAAGGAGACAGCCATGGTATATACCTTCTTCAGGATAGCCAGTATACTGCCAAGAATCGAACCGGATACCTCACGATACAAAATTCAATGTCATTTATGCACTGATATGCTACAAAGCATAGATTGGATCGTTCGCTCTTCGTTCAGTCAGCCATTTTGGTAGGTAGGAAGTCAATTACATAATCTACGACATGTGCCTGTATCGGTGTGTGTCACACGTGTCCAACTGTCGTTTCAAAGCAATATATATTTCATATGTTCCCACGATAACTTACAAATAACATTTACGAAACATGTAAGAGATAAACGACCAGGTTTGTCTGTTAAAATATGGCACGTTAAGTTTGTTTTTTACTAATATTCCAAATAATAAATACAGCAGATGGAACCAGTGTTATAAGTGACGTCATTTGTGACATGTATCTTGTATATGAAAATATTTGTTTTGTTTAGTCCATCAAGGTCTATTAACTCAAATGTTACAGCGCACTGAATGCCTTGCGATAAAAGCTACACGAAGTTTAACCACTATGTAGTTCAATCAACTGAACGTTAGGTACGAATATGAATAATCATTCCATCAATTGCCACTTTCGAAAGCAAACGAGAACATCGTTAAAACACTCCCCGCTAACAGCTACTTTTCCCGTGAGATAACTCGTGATTCTGTGCCAGCAGAGCTTGTAACAATATTTCGGGGCTCACTGTGGTCCTAGATGGCGGCCCGTTGCCCAAACGTTTTCCAGTAATTCCATTAGACAACCTTCAAATCATCACGCCACACACCAGCTTCCCCACTCTGCGCATTTACCCTTGCTAAACTATCTCTTTCCCCCCACCATTTCGTGCATTCACCGTTTTAAACCCTCAAGCGAATTTGCCCTTTCTGCCAGGCATTGTGAATATGACGGGAAATAGCTCATGACCTTTTGACCCTCACCCTTTTCCCTCGTTCCACAGTCCCAATAGCACTGACGTGGCTTCCGGAATGGCGGTAAATAGACTTCCGTACAGAAACCAAATGGACCGTTGGCAGTCACAAAAAGATCGTATAAAAGACTTTTTCTGTACAAAAAATAATCCTATGTATGTCACAACAAACGTTTCATTAAAATTCTGGATGGGACGAGCAGCATTAGGTGAAAACAGTGAACTTCGCGTGGGATTGTACTTGCTGCCGCAAATTCCTGCTTCTTGTCCCCAGAGCGGACAGCAAAACCATAATTATGCAGCTCATTATGCTGTTCAAACAGATCACAGCTTGTGGATATGATCACCCACCTATTTACACACAAATTACATACGTTGTGGCAAAATATGCCTAAAACTCAACTTACAAGCATTATTTAAGAATGTATAAAAGCCGATATCATGAAAATATAGGAAGATGAAACCTCATAGAACATTTTAGTCGAAAACGTGAAGAAAGGAACCACTTGGGAGACCTAGGAGTCAGTGGCGAGTGTCTCGATCTGCTAGTAGTGTGCCGACAACCACAAACATTCGAGGAATATAAAGGTAATATTTTACTATAAAAAGCTTATTATCATCATCATGTTATCACCAATATTAAAATAGCTCAGCACTTCGGAAGAACTGTTGGGGAGGTAATAATATTGCATTTCCGCAACAACATGACTTCCATACCAGGATTCGCCACTGCTAATACGAAGGTGGGAGGCTAATATTAAAACTAATATTAAAGCTATAGCGTGCTGGTGTGCTGTAAATTCAATTGGATCAGAATAGGGTCTAGGGGGTTCTTCTGAACATGGTTCCATAAGAGGACGGAAGTTTTACAGCTTAAACAGTATCCTATAACGAGCTTATGTAGCCTCCAAAATAACTCATTTTTCCATTCTACTCTGGAAAGCAGGCATATATTCAGGAAACGTACATTAGCCTACAGGTTTAAAAACAAATTTGAGATCAAAAACGATATTATAATTACATTCTGTACCTTTAGCATATCCATTAAATACATTTAATATAACATTATCTACAAACACTAACCTTACCTCCCCTGCATAGGAGATTTTGATGTCAGGTGAATGACCTGGCTTTTGAAACGGAAAGACGCCATTGTCCTACCATGTCACCACGTGAAATTCGTATTGTACTAGTCCTGTTTCATATTGGAATGTTCTTAAAGCACACACCATGTAACACACGAAACTATGTGTAATTTGACTCTTAGTCGCATATATGTTTTAACCATTTCAGCTCAAATAACATAGATTCTGAGGCTGCTTGTTGTTTGTAGTCACTGCACATACTCAAATAAATAGGACACTCAATTAACCTAATCCTAATGTTCCGATATTTGAAACAGGAACGGTTGAGTACCAATAATGTGGACCACAGGACTTATAACGGACCAATACTAACATTAAATTCCCGAAACAAAAAAGAAATCAAATAAATCTGTCGAGAAGTTGATGTCTTAAGAGTTCCAACAACTAATACATATTTCAGAAAAAAATGCCTAGGTATGTTTTTTTCTGCAATCCCAATGACTCAGTAAAATAACCGGTAATATACTTAAAACTTTGCATACCGTGTCGTGTATAGAATATACAGTAAACAAACCAACAACTATTAACACTATAATAGACACTATTGCCAAACGCATTTCGACCTCAAGAGGTCATCATCAGTGGCATCATTTGTAATTCTGAATCTAGTTTGAACCATTTGATTAAATGTATTAATTTCCCTGATGCCACTTCTTGAGGTCGAAACGCGTATGGCGATAGTGTCTATTATAGTGTTAATAGTTGTTGGTTTGTTTACTCGGTAATATACGTTTAATGTAAGTTGAAAACAGTTTAATTATGTCAATGTTTTGTCAACATAAAGTTATGTACTCATTTTGCATTAAGATTTTCAGGTGCCTACATTTTACTGTAGTATAATAAAAAGAAGGACAGTTTTAAACTAACCAATGTTCACCAAATATAATGGGGGAGACAAAGTACAGAACCTTCGTATGCGTAAATATTCACGCAATTACAATTCTGATTTTATGTTATGAAGTAAAACATTTACGAGTTTTCGGCAGACTCCACACTAGTTTTACTCACCGACCACATTCAGATGTATGAAGTGACTCATGTGAGGCGCTGTGCTGATCTGGCACTCATAGATACCAGAGTCTCGGTGCTGAGGATACTTGATCTGCAGAGTCCAGTCCTCGCTGTGTGGGTGATGGATCGCGCGGAATCTCTGGTCGCTTGTGTACGTGTACCTCCCCACCGTCAGCAGGTGAATGTCTCGATGTCTGACCCACGACACCTGCAACGACATCTGTTGCTACGTCAGCATGTTCATTAGAGTCTCTTCTAAGGAAATACTAGTATGGTGAGAAAACAGGTTATCACGACGGCAGCTAAGAAGATGACTGTCTTCTGGAATGTTGCGTCGTGAAGTCTGGTAGAAGTTTACCGACGTTTCAGACGCCCCAGAACACAGTCATCTTAAAAATTGACATAATTAACAAAAATTAAATTTAAGGGAAGTCTCACGAAAAGTTGCACGATTAAGTGATTTTATAATTCATTCATTAATTCCCTTATGAAGATTGGCCTTCGATGGGAAATACTTGATACTTTGATGACCCGTTCTTCAAGTGCCTGAGCACTGCGGGTCCCAACTTTTTCGTTGGCTTTGATTTATAGATATTTGGTAGGACTCCTTGAACGAGGTCGATGGGAAATACAACACCCAATTACAACAGAAGATTGTGGGCATTCTTCAGCTGAAGCATTTGTTTTTCATTAATTCAGAGGGTTCACTGCACACACCCCACTTTATTGTGTGTCGTTCTTCTGATTGGTTTACATCCAAGCACCATGATAAAAGGAAACTACAATAATTTCATGAAAATCAGCAGGCCTACAATTACCCTGAATTACAGTTACACTGAAATTGGTGCAATTAATTCCGGTTTACATCCACGCAAAGTAGTGCGATTACAAGGTAATTTTAATTACAAGTAGTACAGTCTCACTTGCTTTTACGACACAAAGTACGACTACCTTGCCTAATTTCCATAAAATGTGGCAGTAACGATGCCAGTTAATTCGCAAACAAACTACGATTTATTCCAGTATTTCCATTGACATACTTTCGATTTATCCGAATTAATTTCTACCGTATAATTCGTATATCTGCTCGGCATACTGTATGAACGGCAGTGTTAGTTAACACGGATGTTAGAATATGGTAAAAACATCCATATGCATTTATAAGATGAGAAGCTATGGTTTTGACATCCGACGTTTGGGCGGAAAAAAAAATTACTTCTGTATTCACAAGTTTATCAAATGTATAACACACGAATTTTCAAACGAACACTGCGAACCAGCGCCAATTATTTCTAAGCCCGCCACCGGGCACAAATCTAAGATATTTATACAGTCTCCCATCCTCATTAAGTACCTCTGTAATATCCTTCTCTGTATTCCAAGTGGATAATTTTCAAGAGGTTTTTCGGAAACATTTTATACGCATTCTTTGTCTCGCCATCCTAGGCACATGCCCAGCCCATCTTAACCTTTTGAATCTACCATCCTAACAACAGATCTCTTTCTCGTCGCGCGAAAAAGTTCTGTTCGTTTCCTTCAATTTATCGTTATCTACTTTACCGTTGCTATAGTCCAATGTACATCGTATAAATGCATGGACAGTTACATTATTATAACTTCTCTCATGAGTTTGCGGTAACCAAATGTTACGTGGAAGTTTGTAACTCATATATTTTCCGTAGTATCTGGAGCGGTTAGCAAACTGACGGCCGATAAAACAATTTTACTAAACTTTATGCTAACATAAAACCTCACGATCCTTAATGCCCGCCACTAAAGCCTTCATACCATAATAAAGCCCCTAGTACAATTATAATAAACGCGTTAAACAAAGCTGCACGTTTCTTCTGTACCTTTCTTCACCAAAAGTGAAGGTGCATTGTTCCTACAGCTTTACGCCTGCGCAAAATGTGACGGGCATTGCAAAGTGTTACGTTGCATTGCCTGATTGGCGCTAAAGAGGCGGGCCAAATAGATAAGAAATGTATACAGAATTGTGGCTGGGAAACCTGACTGGAAGAGACCATTTGGGTGACATAGGAATAGATGAAAAGAATAATATTAAAACAGGGTTAAAAAACAGAATATGAACTCAATTAAACTGTCATGATTATGAATAGATGCGGACTTTTGTGAATAAGGTGATAAAACTCCAGACACCACAAAGATCAAGGATTTTTTTCACCAGCTGGGTGACTATCAGTTTGTTGACTCTGTTGCATAGAGTCAGTTGACGGGGAAGTATACCCTATATTATGCCAAACTATGCTCAGAAATACGTAGAGAAATAAGACGCAGATCATAGAGCAATGATTGAATGAATTTAATTTTTGAACCGTAGTATAATGGGTTGCATTTCCAATAGTACAGTCTGTACAGTGGACATAATCATATAATGACACGTTCCTATAAACGTTTGAGTATAAATTAGATCTATTGGTATTAAAATGCTGATGACGGAATATGTACGTATATTAAATCCATTCAGTTCAAACCAAGCCGATAAACAATTTTGTAATAAACTTGCTGCTTTCTGTTACAGAAGTTAATTCCCTTCATTAGGCTAAACTTTCTTTCCCTTTGTGAAAGTAACGATAGAAAGTGACAAGGAAATAAAGAGTAACAACATACTTTATTTCATGAATGAGACCTTTCTGACGTATCCTAGCAACCTTTGTGATTTCCCTCTACGGAGCACAATTATTTTCATGTTACTAAGAAAATGCATATTACTGAATGACAAGCAGAATGGCGCCCAACCTTCCACGAGGCGTCGGTAAAAGATTAGCTCCCTCTTGCTATGTAAGAACAGTACACACAGCAACGCCACACTATTAATTATAATTGTACTATGTTAGGGTGATGGTCTCTAGTGACCTTTCCATCAGCATTAGTAGTCAGAGAAATATAATATATGAGGATGATACATTTACGTCTCCCTGAAGCGTGGTCGAAAAACAAAGAAACAAGATGCGATTAATTACATCCTCTAATTACTTAAATCTCACCGCTGCAGCACTTTATACATCTCGTCTTTCGCAATGATAAAGTGGTATAATTGTCATATGCATTTCGTCTTTTAAACTGTAATCCATTATATGAGACACGACATTATTTTTGCTAGTTTTACGACGCAGAAAATTTAGAATCAGTTTATTTATAAGTAAATGCGAAGGATATTCAAAACGTAAGGGCAATATTGAAATATTCTGTATGACTGATAACACTGCTGAGGACTCGTAATGCTGCAGTTCAAGGTCAGATGGTGACATGCTGCGAGTGTGGTTAAGCAGTTGTCAGTTTGTGCCTAGCGAACATGGCGTAAGGACAACTGTTCCACTAGAAGTTTTCACCAATGAGAATCAAAACGCAATGTATGAAAGGAGGAGATAGATGTCTTTCAAGTATGGACAGAATTTCTCGCTACATTGAAGTGTGTACGAGTAGATAGGAATATTCAAACACATTTGATAAAAGAACTTTTGGAGCGATTTGCAGAGATGTTGCTGCAATACATAGTACTAATATTTTAATTCAACATATGTTCATTCCGGTAAACTTTTACTGGTGAAACTACGTTATTATATACACAGAAGGCTAAGGAAAGCCGATCTGATCGACTACAGAATAGAGTAATCACAATAAAGGACCAAAACCATACAGTTAATGATGGTGATGATGATGATGATGATAGTGAGGATTGTGATTAAAACAATAACAAGCACACCACAAAACACCTTATGAAGGAATCAGACAAGTGCACAAAATTTCTAACACTTTTATTTAACAAGTATCCTTATTAGAGTTGTAAAGAATTTTCGCGGAAGTTTTAATGATGCATAAACTTTGAGCTGGGCGCACTCTTATATTCAGTCCGTTAGCTAATTATCTAGTCAGGTGACAATGAGCTACTGTGATGCATAATTTTCTGTCACAAGTAAGCTCGTCTTATAATCCTCAAATTTCCAAGATTAAGTGAAACTTGTCAACTTTTAATTAAAATTTAAATTTACTTTTACGTTTTGGTAATAACAATAAGAAAGTGTTTTTGTAACTTTGGCGTAATTAGTGTAAAGAATGTGATACCGTGCCCCATGATTCATGAATTTCATATTTCATTTTTTGATTTCTTAGATACCTTACTGCACGCTGCCCAATAGCAGCACGCGAGTAGGTCTCAGACTGCGCTCCTATCCTAGCTACAATGACAAAAATACAATTCAGCATAAATTATATCTTTGACCACGCAATCCTTCTTAAATTTAGACATTTGGTAAGTCTCTTTTCTTTAACGTGAACAAGACCAGCGTAATCGTATACGCTGATAAGATGTACAGAGAGATGGAATGACCAATTCTGAGGCCGAGACCTGTACTTGGGAATAACCCTTGAGACGACGCAAAATATTGCAGTCTCTTCTGTTTGTAGGAATTGAGACATGCTTACGACAATTTACTACCTTGAGGGAGATGAACCTGACTATAGATCTTTCCAACTTACAGCTAAAATTACCTGAAACGTAGAGGTAAAACACGGGTAATTTTCTGAGCCAGATCAATTCAATCCTCACTAATTACACCAATTTAATTACGAAGATGGCTGTCTTTTCGGTTGTACCGCCGTGTAGTCTGCTACAACTGTATTGACGTTTCAGAGGTATTTCCTGCAAACTTCATTGAAGACTCATTTATCGCCCTGGTAACAGAGCTGCAAGTACCTCTGAAACATCGGTAAACATCTACCAGGCTACAGGGAGTTACAACTCATGAGACAGCCATATATATATAAAATTGCCGTCGTGAGAAATTAAAATCATACTATTTAATATAACATCCATTTTATTATTATCCTACTGTCTTCATATTTTATAGATTTCTGAGGCATTTTATTGTCAAAGTGTTGTTTCCTGTTTTCCCATCAGAGCTGCTTGTGCACCTAGGCAGTTGACTATAAAGAGCGATGTTGTAATTACAGGTCTGTTGTGTAAAAGTTATATTGGAAGATTATTATGAACAGTCCGTATTGAAGTATATGGAAGCAGGAACACGTGGAATAGTGAGGGTACATTGCATTACACCTCGTCGTAACTTTGTGCATTCTAATATCCTAATACAAGAAATGTGTAAATAGTGAAGTTCCTCGTTATGTTAATTTCCTCCATTTTACACTTTGTTAAACTCTCTTGCGGTAAATGACAAAGCTGCCTCC